AACATACAATATTAATGGTTTTTGTCACCCAAACACCATCGTCTGGCTCACACATAGTCAACACCTCCCCTCTACCCACCCCACACTAAAACATATGTTTTGCACATGAACTGAAAATGCAATAGACAGTCCTTTACCAACTAGCAAATTAAGAACAATTCACATTTCCCCTGAGAAATATTTAATTTTGTGCATTAATCGTTGAATATGATCATGTGCCAGTGTATGCAGCAGATGTCACTGTTGTGTATGAAGGTTCCATTAAATTATTGTTTGAAAATAGTGCGGGTAGAAATCATATGCTTGTGTTCTTTATAATGCATTCACTATCACGTAATGCATGAATGTTGAGTATGTTGTGTAGGTGAAAATAAAATATAAAAGTAAATAAAATGATCATGGTTTTAATAGAATTTGCATTAATATACTGGAGGGCAACTTCCTTCCTTCCTTTGAAGGATTTTGATGATATTCTGATAATTGTTTTTATTTTTTTTTTAAATTTTTTTAATTAAGTATTGTGAGGGTCTTCCCTTCAAAGCCAGCATATGAAGTTGAAGTTGCAACACTATATATAGCTATTATGTATAAGATAATAGTAGGTGTTTTTTTAGACTATGTGAATATAATTTATGCATTTTATGTATTTTGACTTTCTCACAAACTGATGGACTCAATAGCAGGTAATCAATAGAGGCTATTTTGCCTATTGATTTTAACGCCTGTCACATTGCACACTGCTCAGGCGGAGAATTTCAGGAGCCGAAGGTTACATTAGACTTCCAAATAAGCTTGTAAATGCTCATCACTTTCTATTTAACATCAGCTGTCAAGTGATTTTTGCTCTATTGTTATACTACTATATCAAACAGTTGGTATGACATTCATAGAAAGTGCACACTTATGCCATTACAACCTTCATTATTGCAAAGTACAGTAATTAAAATAATTGACATGTTATCACATATTTTTCTTTTGAATAATTCTCTGAATATTCTTCTTTCCCTGATTGTGTAATATATATTACATAGTATTCCTCTTTTTAAAAAATATATTTCTTTCCTTTGGAAAAATTTGCCCAATTATATTCTTGGAAAAAAAAAAGTGCTATAATTGTTCTCAAACAAATATTTTGTAATTATCTATTTGAGCCAAGCTAGTATGGTGAATATACTGTAGTATAGTAAACCTAAATTTAGGAAGTGTATGTTGTCTCTTTGTCTACACCTTATCACAATAAGAATATCATTATTTATTTGGTAAACAATATTGAAATAGCAGATAATATACCGTAATGTCAGTCACAGTTATAGCATGTGTATTATTATTATTATTATTATTATGAAAATCATCCTAAATTTAGGAAATGTATGTTGTCTCTGGGCCTGTTTCTGCTGAGCAAAAAACAAGAGTTTTTAAACAGTTATTAAAACACACATATTTTTTCCCCAGTAGAAATGGGCCATAAAAAAAAAGAAGTTAGGAATGCGTTCTAAAAATGCATGTTTTTACACGCATTCGTTATAGGGTTCACGTTAAGAAAACGTGTTTTGTGGTACACTTTTTAGCTGCAACGCAATACCGTGTTAGTCATGACCCGTTGGTGAGCCAAATTCGTGGGAAATTCAGGGCGAATAAAAAAATTAAACCAATAGGATGACTGTTACGTTACGGCTCAGAATAACTAACAGAAAAGAGATCACAACTTTTGTGTATTTACAAAATATAGTTTATTTACAATGTGATTATAATACGGGAATTAAACAAAGATAGAAATTAAACATATAAACGAGCTTAGAGGATGGTGGTGGTTAGAACCTGAAGCAGCAACTTAAGTACTTTACTTACAGATAAAAGAGGAACTGAAGCTGGACAAAATAACAGGGTTCCAGGTAATAAAGATGTCTTGAGTTGTCTGCACGATCCCAAATTACTACTGAATTACTTTGCGTAGTAAGACCTTTTAAGATGGGTGTGACACTTTGCATATTAAGGGTCCCATCGAATCAGGGCACCAATTCCAACAAGCTTAGCAATCTAATCCACCAATTAAAAACTATAGTAAAGTGTCCGATAAACATGTACTTAATTAAGGTACCTAATAAATAAGTGGTTTGGACCAACTGAAAGTAAATGTCCAGGATGCAAAACCACATTCAAGTCTTGGAGATACCAAACTCAGTTCATTTACCTTATGTTAATTAAATACTGTCCACCGGTAAAGGAACTTGTGTGTCATAGGACAATAGCATACTGTAGGATAATAATATTTATGAGCTTTACAAAGTAAAGCAAATTAAAATAAGCAAACAGTACTTTCCTAGAAAATGTTGAGTAAAACTTAAAGGTCCTTTAAGGTCATAAAAATGCTAACTACAAAATATTATGTTATATATAATTATATAAAGAAGTTAATTAAAAATAGGCAAGGATGTAACATGACATTCTTGAAGATTATACCATACCTTTTTCATACTTTCGTGGTGTGTTGTTTACTTCTTTCGCTGCATGCGCTGTAGCTCGCAAGAATTAAAGTTAGCTTCAACTTCCGTTAGTCACCGTCATTTAAGCTCTGCCCACCTGGCAATGCTCGCATTACCATGTTTTTTTTTTAGTTGCACTTTTAACTAGAAACGCATTCAGAAGGAATTTAACCGTTTATAAAAAACGTGTGTTTTTGGCGTTATTCAGCAGAAACACACCCTCTTTGTCTACACTTTATCACAGTAAGAATATAATTATTTGATTTGGTAAACAATATTGAAATAGCAGATAATATACCGTAATGTCAGTCACATTGTATCATTAATAATTATTATTATTAATAATGATATTAATAATTATTATTATTAATATCATTATTATAATTATTATTAATGAAAATTATCATAGGCTTGGGTAAGGTGCATGCAAAAGAATTAATTTTTGTAAGCATTTTGTTGAACATAATTTACCGATTCAAAAAAGTGGGGCTTGCCATTGACACTACAAGTAAATAGCTTGCTACACTTGACTCTGTTGTGAGGTGAGTTGTGACTGAGGTGTAAAGCTTAATTCCTCTTTATAATTGGTTTTCTTGTTGTTGATACTATTATCACCATGCAATGCATCCATGCATCACTAATACAAGTAAAAACCATAAAAAAAGCGTTGTTAATGCACTTTGAAGATTTTGTAGCCTTTTTTGAATGCACTTGTTCTCTAAATTAACCTCTTAGATAGTTTAATGATGAAATATTTACTATTTTTCAACTTTTCACAATGCAGCACTACTTAATACTCATTTTATGAATGTCCTTGAAAGTATAAAAAAATTCATATAATTTGATATTAGTATTTTTATCAGAATAGTAACTTAGAATCTAAAGAATAATGTTAATATGCTATAACTGGTAGATAGCATGATTCGTTGCGTTCAATTTAAATAGTATTGCAATTACATAGTAATTACAATAATGATTCAGCTGATATAGTAAGCAAACCAGTATTCCTACATGGAAATGAAAATAATGCAGGCTATTATTATACAACAGAAATTAGCCCAAATGTTGTTAACAATGTGATGCAGACAGTGTTACAGATGTGTAGTACAAGGATGTTTTTATTTTGATAGAATGTATCTCAGTTTTACCCCATGTTCTCATATTTTGGTCAAAACCTTATTTTTACCTTTTCGTTTAACATTAGTACTGTGTATCACATTTATTTCCACTATATCATTTCCATTAAAGACTTTAGCTTTGGGTGTCATTGGTGTATTACATATTATATCAGGCCTATCAGTTACAGTCCTTTAGGATTGTTTGTTTCATATTTAATTTGATTGTTTAATTTCATATTAAAAGTCTCCAAAAAGGCATAAATACAAGCAGTCTGTAAAAGGTGACCAAGCCTTCAAACCTCTGAACATTTTATACATTTTAGTAAATTTTTTTCCTGAATATCACCAATGCTCAGATATTCCCACTTCTTAAGTGTAGCTTTGTAGTGACAGAAGGCATTCTAGTCAGTCCAGCTTGAGTCAGCACCAGAGGGTAACTGTAACATTACTGACATAGCTGTTGGTGTTGAGAGGTTGGTATTTCCCACCTCTATAATTGTTCTAGTGTTGGCAGCTCTACTAGTTATAGCTTGACTTCATTCAGCGTTTTCTGGATTTGAGGCGTACCTTTGTTTTCAGTAGCTGGTTGATTGTCTTCTTCATAGTTCTTTACTCTGAGTCCAATTACTTCAGCTCCTGCTGAGTAAACTGGATCTTTGAAGTTCTCCCATGTGCCATCATAGATCATCTCTACCAGGCCTTCAGAAGGTTCCATATACATTGGCTGTTTCAACTCACTAACGTCTAGGCCAACATGCTTTGGTATGTTCACTCCACTTATACATTACTAGTCTTTTTACGGGTTTTTAGTTTGAACATTCTTTGCACCATTTTGTGGTCCGTGTCACATTCAACCTTTTATTATACATTACATTACATTCATCTCTATCACATTTATTGTGGGAAAAAATGTCATAAAGCATATGAGAATTCTTAGGTTGTGGGTGAATCCATGTGGTTTTTTTTTTAAAAGCTTTTAATGGCAAAAATATGTTGGAGGTGGCTAAGTTTAATTTTGAGAAAAATTCAATAGTTTCACACCATTAACGACCAAGTTTATCCTATGTAGGAGATGTTTTCCAATACTACCGAAAAACAATTTGCAAGTGATTTGCGTGGGAATCGAACTCACAACCCACGACCAGACAAGTTATCTGGAGGTCGTGGGTTCGATTCCCACCTGAAACACTTGCAACTTTGTCTCCTTAGCATTTGGAAACATATTGAGTATTCGGTAGGACAACACATCTGGTAGGGAAAACGTCACTCCTATCAACCACATTGAAAATACCAAGAAGTATGTATCTTTCAGTAGAGATGTAATAGCATAGCAGTACGAGAAATCATGAATTAAGTAAAATAGTTTTCTAAATCATATCTTTTTCTTTATGTTTCACAGAAATTAGTAGATGCTGCAGAACAAGCAAATCTTGCACATGAATATAATGAATCTATAGAGGTGAGTACATCAAATGTTTTTGAATAGTACATTAAGAATTGTCCATATTATCAAATATTCTTTAACCAAAAACTTCCATATATGGTCATGATGTGATGTCATCATGAGCATATATAGGCATGTCATAGTCTGGACAGTGCTTTAGATGTAGAAAAACAAATAATTAGGTAAAAAAAAAAGGAATCTTGTGTTTGCTACGTTTTTGGAAAATAAAAAAATGAGTAGGTCAATAGGAAATTTTTTTTTCTTTTTTTCTTTCCCAAAAATGTGTTTCCCTAAAAAGCAAAATACTTGAAAATACACCAATACCATTTTAACATTTTAAAAGCAAAACTATTGTATAACACTGTCGCATCGCCTACCATCCAGCAAGATGGTCCTTTTTCAGTCTTTTTAGCTCATTAAAAATAAAGTACTTATCTTTATAGTGAAAAAGAGAGAGAGAAAAAAAAAAACTAAAATGCCAAACCTCAATTTCGTACATTTTAGGTCGGTCGGGCCTAATTCTTGACATCAACAGGTGTGATATTACTCTGCATCTCATATTTTATTTGAGCAATATTGAAGGCAGCATTAAATGTCATTGTCCAAAGTAAAATAGTGTGATTGTGAAATTTACTTTACTGATTATAAAGTATATTGAGCAGAAAGTAGAAAAGAATGACAAGATAGTATTTACAATTTTATATTCATCTGAAAATTAATTTTGTAAGTTTTTACATGAGAATTTATTTTTTAGAGTATGCATAATGTTAATAGTATGCGATGGCACTTTAGTGAAAATTATAAAATTAATGTTTAAAAAAAGATAATTCTTAAAATGGGATAATGGTTGTTATATGTATTATTGACAAATTTGGTAATTGTACTTAAATATACAAATTAATGCAGAATTAAAACCAGTAAGGAGAATTAAGCCTAATAATTTGGTTGAAAGAAGTGGTTGGAACAGTTTTGGTTCCAAACCTCCAATTTCAGGGTTTCAATACTATACTGTATATAATTGGTACTTAAAGCTTATGTTGCTCCAGCGTTTCACAATTTTTTCACAAAATTCACAATTTTTTATTGTAGATTTGTTTAAAATACTTTAAAAAAGACAAAAAAAAAAAAAAATAGACTGCAAAAATATACTACAATGCTACAATAGAATAAAAGAAAAACAAAATATATTACCAAACTCATTCATTTAAATTTATTTACAAATTAAATTAAAATATAAATATGCTTATTATTTTTAATATAATTTATATTAACATCATGATTGTAATTATTGTAATTAATAATTGTTTATTTTTTGTACAATTAAATTTAAAAATAATTGTTAATTCATTTAAATTGACATGAATTCTAAATAAATGTGGTAATGTTAAACCTCACAAGTAGTGCTGCTGACAGGAACTTAAATCATTTTTAGACTGCAATGAACAAAATATAGGACCACAGACAAATAGAAATCACATTTGAGAAATTCAGTAAAAAAGTTTTAACATGTATATAGTAATAATAGTTTGCAGTTTAACGTTGCAGTTTATATGTAATCTTTGTGAAACTGTTAATTGGTATGGTTGACCTGTGTTATTTCCACTTATAGTAAACAGCTAGTCTTCAAATATTGATCTATTAATTGAATTCATCTGATGGATTAGTTGTGAATTTTGCGCTCATCTGGCACACACCACAAATATTGACTGTATGGACTATTTACAGGAGCAGGGTGGATGCGTGCTATCAAGTTCAATTACTCTACGCTTAGCACATGGCCGATAAATATATATGATATCAATTGATTGTTTTTGGGGAAACCCTATGAATAACAAGCTGGTTATTGTTTATAATTATCATTTTTTTCAACAAGAGCATTAAAAGTACTAATTTTAAAGTAGAACCTACTTTTACATTTGCTTTATTTTATACAAATACAAATAAACGGGCATGTCCCAATGAAGAAATGATTAAATTTTGGTGACAGTCCGGAGTATCGCGCGGGTGTAAGGACAAGTTAAAGGGATTTAGAAGCATACAGTACACCAGATATTCAAAAACGTGTCTACTCATCTGAATGAAAGTTTCGTGAAGGTTTAACCAATCAACTGATCTGAATGACACTTTCGTGAAAGTTTAACCAGGTTACAAGAAAGTGCATGTGAGGGCCATTAGGACCCACACCTAAATATCTCTTGAATGGTTCCAGAATAGTTTGTTTTGTTTTAATGAAGAAGTGTTTAAATTTTGGTCACAGTCCGAAGTAGGGTGTGAATGTGAGGACCATTTAAAGATTAGGTTTACTGTATATCGTAGGCAGATAACAATAGCTGTGTGATGAATATTCAAATTAGTGCTATTACAGTTAATGTATACAGCATTTCATATGTATTATCTTCAGTTTGTGGGAACAGATTGGGAATATTTTTATGTGATGCTAACAACCTTGACTATTTGCATAACATTTTCATTTCAACACCAATACTTGGCATTTAATTCTTTTTTCAATTATAAAAGTAAAATATTCCTGTGTGGTTAACCAGCAGAAGTAAGGAACTGGCAGGTATATAACTAATACAATAAAAGGCATTTCTGATTGGCCGGTTAGTGTTTTTTTTTTTAAGTAGGTGGTGGTTGGAAAGTAAGTGAGCTGCCACTTATTTTTTACAATCAGTAGTTGAAAATAAAATATTTCAATACTATATGTTGGGGTAGAATCTGATTTAGGTTGGGGGTGGGGGGATGGTTTGAGAATGTGGTTCTCCCTATTCAATTTGAAACTAATACCCAATTCGCACGTACAAAAATCTTACCAAATGTAACAAAATGTAACGAAAAGTAACATTTTACGCCACGTGTGAAAGCACCTCTGTGTATTATATCCTTGTAAAATTTGAACGTCTTGGTAATCTCGGTAAGCTTCCGAGATGTGGCATGGATGGATCTGCGCATGTGCAGGAATTTCAATTTCTCTCGACCAAAAACAACTCCCTAAGCCTCATGTTAGACGTCGTCAAGTAGACCATCTTGTGTGTATGTTTGTCTTGTGAAGGGATTGCAAAAAATTGGGGAGCGATTAAGTTCACCTGGCTACTATGTGAAAACATTTCAAAATCTAGCAAGTGGTCAATATAGATGAGTTATACTGTTAGGAAATAATTATTTCACACCTCATTTTAACTATATACTGTCCCTCTGTTACTTGTGGAGATTGAGCAGCGAGGAATAAAGTAGCATGACGAATTAAAGTCGTGTTCTGTCATATGCATTTGTTATTGCTAATATAGGCATAAAATAACACATACCTCCACTGTTAAACCACAAAGCTTTTTCAAGTGATGTATCAAAATCAAATTATATTCCAATTAAAAACATACTTTAGGTCAAATTATCCCACCATTTCTGTTGCAGCTAAAAATTACCCCTCGAAGGAAGATTATTTTTGGCCGAAAAAAAAGGTTCTGTGTCCCTGGAACAGTATTGATTCCATGCCAAAGAACTTCTTTGGGATGCCAAAAAGAATGATTTTTTTTTCTGCACCTAATATTGCCACCATTGGTTCTTTCTCATCAGTAGAAACAAACCCTTGTGTAGCATTTCTCAGTACTGAATCACATGATGCTGTGACATCTGTGAAGGTTGCTGTGTCAGCATCTTGGGTATAAATTACCCCAATGCAATTTACAATGACAAATTAACCATTATAATAAAAGCTTTAACAAAAATATTTTTCTGCAATTACAGAAGGTACAAACAATGGTGATTCCTGCTTTCCAAATAATAGCTTGTGTCAGTTTTGTTCTTACTTAACAAAAGAGAAATTTCTGATCATTATTGAAGAACTTTATATGCAAGGACTAAATTATTGACATGTCTGATAAAAATTAAATCTCAATTATGTCCTTTTCAAAGATTCTGCTAGAGCTGTGCCAAATGACCATACTTTGGGATGCCAATAAAAACAGTTCTTTTTTGTGACCCCCATTTCTACCAGTGCCACAAAGAACCATTCTTAAAAACAAAGGTTCTTAAGCATGGTTTTTTTTTTACCGTCAGTAGAAACAGGCCGTTGGTTACGTTGCTCAGCAGGGAGTCAAATGATGTTGTGACTTCTGAGCAAGCTGCTGTGCCAACCACTTGGGTAGCATTGTTCAATAGAGAGTCACACATGATATTGAGGTGTCAGCTCAACCATTATTCGATTGGACATTAGGTGTACAAGTCCTTACAGTATGCTGACCATTGTATACCCGACTGGTAGGGTGAAATTGAGTGTTTGACATGTTAATGAAGGTTAATGTCCCATTAAACAACTGATTGATTGAGTGAGGCATGGTCCTTGTGAGGGCTGCTTTACAGTGGAACAGGTACTACTTTCAGTGACCTTACATGTTGGTAATAGCATGGTAATAGTACTGTATCAAGTACCTTGCTGTGTTAATTTGTGTAATAAATCTTTTTTATCACTTAACTGTCATTAATTGATTTTTTATACAGTGTAATTAAGAAGGTCACATAATGTGCAAAAAACTTGTTTATACAACCACGTCCATGATACAACACACCATTGAGAGTTGTATAAACGAGATTGGATTCTTTGTGATTACAAAACCATCTAGGGCTGTGTTTATACTACACCATGGGATTAAACACTGTGTTTTGTCATTGAACGAAAATTAACGGCGAAGGCCAATCGCTCAGCAACACTAATTTTTACTTGCGAGCTTTGAATCCGTGTTATACAGGAAATTGCGTAAGGCGCGTTGCATTGTGGGATGTAAGGTCAGATAAACACCTACTGAAGCGTTCTACTTCCGCTGGTCTTGCGCGGAAATTTATTTTCCAAAACATTGACTGGTTTTTTGAGAGTTTCTTAAACTATTTGCTGATTACTATGGAAGAAAACGGTTTTCTTTTCATCATTCTTATGATGATTTTTGGAGGAGAAAACGGCGTTGGAGGGCTAGGCCTAGGCCGTCTACAGCAAGTACCGCGAATGAGGCTGATCGGTGACA